CAGTGGAAAAACTTGCAACTGGACAATGTCTTAGTGATCATATCAGTAGCATTATGATCTGTAGAAACCTTCAACACTTGGACTTCTCCACGCTCGATTACCCCTCTGACAAAATGCAGCCTCACATCAGTGTGATTGGTTCGCTCATGATAGGCTGAATTCTTCGACAGATGTATTGTACTTAGACTATCACATTTAATAGTGACAACTCGACCTTGAAGTTTCAGTTCCTTTACAAAACCTTCAAGCCACAATGCTTCCTTCACAACTTCAGTTAGAACGATATATTCTGCTTTAGTGGTTGATAAGGCAACAACCTTTCGAAGTGTTGCTTTCCAACTGATTGATGTGCCAAATATAGTGAACACATATCTAGAAATATATTTTCTAGAATCCATACAACCTGCATAATCTGAGTCGACATATCCTTTAATTGCTGCTTTACTATCTTCACCCAAGGCCCCACCATAAATTAGGACTTTATTCAGAGACTCATTTATGTACCTTAGAATCCACTCCAATTCTTGTCAGTGAGCCTTTCCAAGGTTCGTCATGTACCTACTTACAAGACTCATTGCATATGCTATTTTGGGTCTAGTACAAACCATAGCATACATCAAAGAACCCATTTAAATTAGGATATGTAATTTTATTCATATAAGTTCTTTCGTCATCAGTAATAGGACACTGATATATACTCAGCTTGAATTGAGGGTTTGTCGGAGTCATAATAGGCTTTGAATTCGACATACCATTCTTTTCGAGAATCTTTCTAGGTATGCCTCTTGAGATAAGCATAATTTCGACTGCTTTCTATCTCTTTGGATGTCAATCCCAAGAGTCCTGGACGCAGCTCCCAGATCCTTCATGTCGAACTCCTTATTAAGTTCAACTTTCACCCTTATTAAATCTTCGATATTGTTTCTTGCTATTAGAATATCATCCACATAGAGCAACAAAATAACAAATGAATTACCATGTCGAAATCTGAAGTAAACACAGTGGTCGAACTAACTTCTAATGAAACTTATGCGTGCCATGAACTCATCGAATCTCCTATTCTACTATCGAGAAGATTGTTTCAGTTCATATAAGAATCTCTTCAGCTTGCACACATAATCTTCCTTTCTCTTTTTGACATGCCTTCCAAGTTGCCTCATCAGGATTGTTTCATCTAGATCACCATACAAGAACACAGTCTTCACATCCATCTGTTCCAGTTCTAGGTCAATCTGTTCCATTGTGGAAAGCAATATTCGAATGGATATGTACTTCACAATAGGAGATAACACACCATTGAAGTCGACACATTCTTTCTGAGTGAAACCCCTAGCGACCAATCTTGCCATGTATCTTTTTGACGACATTCCTTCGATTCCTTCCTTAACTTTGAAAATCCATTTACAACTGACTAACCTGGCTCTAACAGGTTTCTTGATCAGTTCACAAGTGTTGTTACTATGAAGAGATTTCATCTCATCATCCATGGCCTTCAGCCATTCAATATTCTTTTGACTCCTCATAACTTCCTTACAGTCTCTAGTTCTTCGTCAAAAACCTCACTTGCAGAGATTAAGACATAAGTTATAAGATTTGCATACCCAAGTTTCTGAGGTGGCTTGATGACTCTCCCCGATCTGTCTCTTGCTAGCAGGTAGTCATTATCAGTCTCCTCATCTTCGACAACAACTTTTGCTTCTTCTTCGACTTCATCTGGGATACACAATTCAGCATCAACATGCTCCACCTCAACAGGAATCTCTTCCTGTTCTAGCTCTTCGTCAGCATCATCAGTTTTCTTGAAACCAATCTCTACTTTATTGAAAACTACATCTCGACTGGTGATACACCTCCTGTGACTTGGCTCTAGGCACCACAGCCTGTAAGCTTTGACTCCTTCAGGGTATCCCATGAACATACATTTCAGGACACTAGGTTCGACCTTCTCTTGCCTGTTATGAGCATAGGTCATGCAACAAAATACTCTCAGTTTGTCTAGAATAGATGGATGTCTTGACCAAACTTCTTTAAATGTCTTCATATCTAACACAGTCGAAGAACATATGTTTATCATATATGTTGCTGCTGAAACAGTCTCATCCCAAAACATCTTATTTAACCCAACACTAGCCAACATGCATCTAACTCTTTCCAAAATATTTCAATTAAACCTTCCAGCCAAACCATTTTGTTGTGGAGTCCCTACAGTAGTTTTATGCCTTGCAATACCTAAGGCAACACAAAAACTGTTGAATGCCTCATTGCAAAATTCAAGGTCATTGTCGATTCTTAACCTCTTGACCTTTCTGCCAGTCTGATTTTCGACCAGAGTCTTCCAACCTTTGAAAAACTCAAAAGTTTCATCCTAAGTCTTTTGGATGAATTCCCATAACTTCTTGGAATAATCATCAACTATGGATAGAAAATACTTTACTCCTGAATGTGATGGATACCTTGCAGGCCCGTAAAGATCAACATGGATGTAATCAAGGGATCCATGAGTTCTTTGTTTGCCTTTTTTGAACTTCACTCTGCAAGATTTTCCAAGTACACAAGGTTCACAAAATTTTAGCTTTTCGACTTTGTCTCCTCTAAGAAGATTTTGTTTCCCTAATTTGACCAGACCCCTTTCATTGACATTCCCCTAATGTGCCAAATTTTTGTTTTCGACAACGGTTTTGTGGATGCAACATTTGTCGAACCACTTACAACTTCAGCCTCAAGGGTATACAAGCCTTGTTTCTTCATGCCTCTCAAGACTTCCTTCGACCCCCTTCATGACTCTTAGGATACTTTTCTCTCCTTGAAAAACATATCCCTTCTTGTCGAATTCACCAAGAGAAATCAAATTTCTCTTCAAATTAGATACATACATGACTTCAGTCAATAACTTTATTGACTCATCGTGGAGCTTGAATCTCACAGATCCAATACTTGCAATTTTGCAAGATTTGTTGTTTCACAGCAACACTGATCCACCATCTTGATCACATAGTTCCTCGAACAATTCCCTGTTTAGAGTCATGTGACAAGTGCAACCTGAATCCATAATCCACTCCTTTCTTTAGTCGTCGTTTGAAACCATAAGAACATCAGATGATTCGAAGTCATCTTGAACAATGGTTGCGTTGTCATTATCTTTACCTCCATGATCTTTCAAGCGTTCAGGGCACACTTTTTTTGTGCGACTCTCATTCTTACAGTGATAGCATCGAATACCAGATGCCTCGCCACTATAAGACTTCTGTTGACTTTTACCTTTCTTCTTGTCGAACTTACCATCCTTTCGCAAGAATTTTCCCTTAACGGCAAAACCTTCACCAACCGTCGAAGGTTTATACTCCTTTCGTTCCTTCAAGTCCTTAGAAAACAAGGTTGGTTGAACTTCTTCAAAACTCAGGGACTCCCTTCCATACAGGAGAGTTTCTTTGAAATGAGCATGTGTTATGGGCAAAACGCACAACATCAATAATGCTTGATCTTCATCATCAATCTTTGCATCAATATTTTTAAGTTCAAGTATCAGCTTGTTGAACATATCCAACTGCTCAGCCAACACTTTATCTTCACTCATCTTGAATGAATACAAAGCTTGCTTCAGGTAGAGTCAATTCACCAGAGATTTGGTCATGTACAAGCTTTCAAGGTTCAACCATAACCCCGATGTCGTCGTCTCTTTTGATACCTGTCAGAGAACCTTATCACTGAGGCTCAACAATATTATGTTGTGGGCTTTCTCTATCATGGTCGTCTTTTCTTTTTCCGTTAATGCAGCGTCCATGACTGCCTCTCCCTTCAACGCTTCCAAACAACCCTGCTGAACCAGTAGAACTTTCATCTTCAAGCTCTACAGACTGAAGTCGTTCACTTCGGTAAACTAATTGACTTTTTAACAATTACCCATTACAAACTAACTTAAGGTACAAACTAACTTAAACAATTGAGTCCTTAACATAAGACCCAATTCGACAACTACATACTAGAACACAATTCGTCTACAGCATGTAGGTATTCGACAACAACATGTGAGCAAACTTCGACGACATGTTAACTAGAGTTCGATCCAATATCTCACATTATAAAAGTCAAATTCTAATTCTAATATTGACATCTAATTTAATATTGTGAATGATACTAAATGTTAAATTAAAATTATTGTGAATTAGTTTTACAATAACACTAAATTAAAACCATTAAAAAAATTAAATAATTCTATAATTTGACTAAGAATCTATTTTCATTATTATTTTTTAAATTTTTATTTAATTTTCGTATATAATCTCTAACTTTAATACTAAAATTATGTGATTAAATTTTATTAATAAGCTAGTCCCCATCACATATGTAAAATTTTTTTGTCAATAAATATCCCTCTATATGTGTTTGATTTCGCTTCCTCTCCCACCTACTTCCTCCTCAACTTAAAAATAAAATACAAGTAAAAGAATAGAGGATATAAGAAGACAAGAAAACATGATGTCACTGGTAGATACAAAAAGAGTAAGTAAAAAAGATATAAAAAGATAAGTAACAAAATTATATATTTAAAAAAAAAAAATTATCACCTCATCCAAGTGCTACCAACTTATCTAATTTAACAAAATTATCTAAACTTTTTAAAAAAATTAAAAAAATGTTATTGAGGAATGATTTTGTATTAAAGAATAGTATGCATGAAGACGAACTTGGCAGTTACTACGTCTATTTTAAAATTAAGGTTGTTTTAGAAAGAAAAAAAATAGTTTTGAAATAAATATGTTTCTTACTTTCAATATAGTATATTAGAAATACTTGATATTTTGTAACTTGTCATTTAATTATTACTGTTTCAAATACATTTATAAAATTAATTTAATAAAAATATAATGTTTCGTGACACTATGATTACCATACCACATTTATATATATCACTTTCTTCTTTTAATTTAAGCGCTTCTCTTCTTTTTCATGTAAACTCACATCATAGTCTCTCAGAAGGCAAAAGAACTGATCATCACAGAATGGAAGGAGATCTAAACGAAAAGCTACTGAGAAAACCAGAAGAAGAAAATGATGAAGAAGAGACACTTGGTAAAAGGGTATGGAATGAAACAAAGCTTATGTGGATAGTTGCAGCACCAGCTATATTCACAAGATTCTCAACTTTTGGTATTCAAGTTATTAGTCAAGCTTTTGTTGGACATATTGGTTCCAGAGAACTTGCTGCTTTTGCTCTTGTTTTCACTGTTCTCATTAGGTTCGCCAATGGTATTCTGGTCAGTACTTTTCTCACGTTAATGACATAGTACTATGTTTATGTTACTATTGGTTTCTCAAAAGTTTGTTTTTTTAAGGAAGTTGGTCTGTGTTTTTCTGTTTCTTTAAATAAAAATTTGATCTTTTTTCATTAACTTTTTGGTATGTTGGAATAGAATCTTTTCTTGGTGTTTGAGTGGTGATTATAGAGATTAGTGAAATGGGGTTTTGATTACTTTTTGAGAGAAACTTTTGTTTCATAGATTCTAGTGAGAATGAAGCAAAGGTGGGACCTTTGTATTTTCTCAATCACAATAATCAAAGTTTTGTTACTTTGTCAGTGTGTAATAATTTTCTTTGAGTGTGTTTTTTTCGTTATTAGACCCATTAATCAAGTTTGTCAGTTCTGACATCAAGTGGTTTTAGCCTCCTCTTGATCGCAGTTGCGGTTGTTCGAACTGTGATCATCCTTTATGTGTTTGTTTGATCTATGCATTGGTAAACGTGTTAGTGTTGGTGTCTGTGTCGGTGCTGTATTTGATGTTTGTGTTAGCGCTTCAAAGATCATACCAACCGAAGTTTAAAAAACGATCCATTACCATGAAAATAGTGATGTTGGAAGGTTTAGATCCGTTTTTATGATGAAAAAAAACTATATGGCTAATTCAAGCCGCCATGACTAACACCTATACTAACTGAAATTGCGAAAACCTTTATGTTATTTTAAACCTTTATACTAAGACAAGTTAATTGTTTGTAAAATGAATTTTGTAGTTGGGAATGGCGAGTGCGTTGGCGACCCTTTGTGGACAAGCATATGGAGCAAAAGAATATGGAATGATGGGAGTGTATCTTCAAAGATCATGGCTAGTTTTATTCTTAACTGCACTCATTCTTCTTCCTGTGTTCTTCCTCACATCTCCACTTTTAATCCTCTTAGGCCAAGACGAAAGCATAGCAGAAGTTGCAGGAACCATTTCTCTATGGTCAATACCTGTTATGTTTGCTTTCATTGTCTCATTCACTTGTCAAACATTCCTTCAATCACAAAGCAAGAACACCATCATTGCATTTTTGGCTGCTTTTTCCATCATCATCCACGCTTTCCTCTCTTGGCTTTTGACAATGAAATACAAATTCGGGATCGCTGGCGCGATGATTTCAACTGGTTTGGCTTATTGGATTCCCAACATTGGTCAGCTTATCTTTGTTACATGTGGTTGGTGTCCCGAAACTTGGAAAGGTTTCTCTTTTTTTGCATTCCAAGACCTTTGGCCTGTTGTCAAACTTTCCCTTTCAGCAGGTGCCATGTTGTGGTAAGCTCTTTCGCAATCCGATTATCCATCAATTGATTTAAACTCCCTTCGGTGCATGTTTTGAATCGCAGTGCCGGTGACAGCGTAATATGGTTGAACTCTGTTTATATTATTATGCAGTCTTGAACTCTGGTACAACACGATATTGGTTCTTTTGACAGGAAACATGAAAAACGCAGAGGTTCAAATTGATGCGCTATCTATATGGTAATGCTTCTGATGCATTGCAAAACTCGTGTTATCGAAATTCGTGTAATGTGTTTATAACTTGCTAAAAGTCGAATTTGATTAATGACAGTCTCAACATCAATGGATGGGAAATGATGATATCGCTCGGTTTCATGGCTGCTGCAAGGTAATAGCATTGTTACAAATTACAACCCCTTATCTGTTCATATGTTGTATGATTATTTACTTTATCATGCAGCGTTCGAGTATCAAATGAGCTTGGTAAAGGAAGTGCGAAAGCCGCAAAATTCTCAATCGTTGTGACAGTGCTTACATCGTTGGCCATCGGATCCTGTCTTTTTTTGTTTTTCTTATTTTTTAGGGAAAGACTTGCTTATATATTTACCTCAAACAAAGAGGTGGCTGCAGCGGTCGGAGAATTATCGCCTTTGTTATCGATCTCTATACTGCTAAACAGTGTTCAACCGGTACTATCAGGTACCATTTACAACATTTTCTCTTCAATACATTGAATCATAATGCAAATAAATCTTCACTGCTAGAAGAATATTACAAAAATGTGATTTGATTTCAACAGGAGTGGCTATTGGAGCAGGATGGCAAAGTATTGTAGCATATGTGAACATAGGATGTTATTACATCATAGGTATTCCTGTTGGAATTGTACTTGGTAATGTCATCCATTGGCAAGTCAAGGTAGGCTTTTACAATCGTCTTGTCTTCAAATTGCATTTATATGAATCACTGACACTGACACGTTGACACGATAATGTAAATACATGAATCAGCTCGTGTTGGATAATGAGCACGTCTTCTGCATATAAGTTGTATTTTTATGGATTCTAATTACTCGAACAAACTTTTGTAGGGAATTTGGATGGGAATGTTGTTTGGAACATTGATTCAAACTATAGTGCTAGTTATAATCACCTATAAAACTAACTGGGACGAGCAGGTATTTTACTTCTTTAATCGTAATAGACCCGGATAATGTATAGTAATTAAACTCATAATATAAATATACACTTAACATGATTAAATCATTGATAACAGGTGATCGTAGCTCGGAATCGTGTAAAGAGGTGGTCGAAGGTAGAGAGTACTAATCAAGGAGAAGAAAGAAAGTTAACTGGAAAATAGAATCAGTTGTGTCTTGTGTTGTGTTATCATCCATAATAATTATTCTCAACTGGAAGAATTAATCTTTCAAATTAAGAGCTTATGATATTTTCTTCATAAGAAAACAATCTTGACGCATCAACACTGAAAATTTTGTGTATAATGATGTTATTTGATCCATTGAGCACACCTTTTGATTCCTTTTTGTCCTGTCCTTTTCCTTTTTGTCAACAAAGAAAAAAGAAAAAGCTTGACATGCCAACATTTAACATTGTGTGTATATAGTTATTTGGGCCATTGGAGTACACCCTTTCATTCCTTTTTTGTCAAACTGATTTGCCTCATAACGTTAATAAAGATAACACATTATTATACTATCTGTCTTGGATGATCGAAAATTTATTTTTTAAATTTATTAAATAATTAATATATTTGTTCTATTATAAGATCATTACTAATTCTATTAGAATAACAAAAATATGTACACAAATACTAAAAAAAAAAAAAGATTAATGTTACTATTAAAATAACAAAAATATGTATAATAAAATTTATGGTTAAATATATTTGCTATCTTTTTAAATATTTCAATTTTCGTATTTACTTTTCTTCTGGGAAACTATTGATCACTTATTTTCTAGAGTCATGCTGTTAGGGACTAGATAAAAGATATTATTCATGTCTCCTCTTGGGGTGAGCCCTATTGCCACGTAAAGGACACGTCTTAGGACGAGAGTCCAATGAAGGTCATATGCCGCCCTATTTGAAAACTCTTACAAATATATCACTCAAACTCTAATGAGGACAATGAGAGAACTAAAAATCTCTAAAACTGAGTTTCTTTGAAGATAACGAAGAATTCAAAAGTATTTGACCAGTGTTCTATAGAGGGGGAGACAAAAAATTGACTGACAATATGAACAACATAAACAATATCAAGTATATAATCGAAAAATACATCGATTGCAGATTAAATAATCATAAGATACATCAATTGCAGATTAAAGTATGATACAAAGTGAGATATGTTAAAGGAACACTATTAACATACTTTACATTCAATTCAAGAGAACTATTTTCTTTTATAATATAAAAAAGGTGGATTTGTTGAAGGATGTTGTCAATGTATTTTGATTGAGAGGAAAGATAGCCTCTAGAATAGTAGACAACTTCAATTCCAACGAAGTAGCAAAGAGCACATAAATACTTCATTTTAAACCACTTAAGTGATTGTAATTTCAAATCATCAATCTTGTCAACATCATTACATGTAATAATCATATCATCAATATATAATAAAAGTAAAATGCAACCATGAAAAGCGATAAATTAGATCGGAAACCAAAAAATATAGTAACAACGATAAACTTCTCAAATCAAACTCGTGAAGATTGTTTCGATCTATATATAACCTTATTCAACTTACACACTTTTCATTTACACACTTTTCATTGATTATGAGAAAAATTTGATGAAGGTACCAAATGATTTTTTTCATAAAAATTACCATTTAGAAAAACATTTTTAACATTTATTCGAGAATTACACAATATCAAATAAATAAAACTGCAAAATCATTTACAACCACTCAATTTTGTCGATTCAAACCTAGAGATGATTGATTGGCGCCTAATATTTAAAAACACGGAGCTACTTTCTCCTTCCCTTACTATAGATGATTATAATTCAAGAACTTAAGTCAATCGTGATTTTTATCAATTGAAACATAGAGTAGATTCATAAGAAACTATGGAAATGAAAACCTTACCACTCATGTAGTGATTTTGACAATGATTTGGTTGGTCCACTTGATCAACTAGTGGAAATGATCACGTTCCACAATAAGCTGATATGGCAGTACATGACATAATGTATCAAGTCTGTCAACAACTAGATGATTGTGGTTGATATTGAGGTTCAACAAAGGAGAAAGTTGGAGGCCAAACACACTAATTATGGTGACAACTCTATCACCTCCACTATTCACGGTTCTCAAGGATACAGAGGTTCAACAAACTTTACAATGCAATGTTGAACTATCATAGCGACTATAACACATTCACTAGTTCAACCAAATTGTATACGATCAAAATGTTTTATCTCTATAAATCCACTTGTAAAGCAAAATATATGAACAAACTTGGTGCAAATTGTATAAATAGCAATGCTAATAAGGAAGAAATAATTTGACCAAAGAAATTTAAAAATGCACACATGTCACTATTTTAAAAGTGGGTTTTATATTGATTTTAAATTTAAATTCTTTTTTAACAAAGATCATGGTTATAATGAATGGTTGAAATTTATTTTTACATTTTTTTATTAATAAGTATTTTTCTTTGTATAAATTAGTTTGAACTAATTACTCTTTCCTTCGAACTTTATTATAAAATTTTCAACTTAATAAATATTATTAAAAATTTATTAAAATAATAAATTTGATAAAATATTATATTACTATTATAATTTATTGATATCATAGTAGAGAAAAAATTTACATTTCTAATAATTTTTTAAATATATGTATTTTTTTAGAGAAATCATTAATATATATTGAATTTCATAAGTAATATTATTTTGAAAAATAAAATAAAATAAATAATTGAGAAGACTGCACACAAACACTTGAAAGAGATAACAAATATTTTTTTCAAGTTAATTAAAAATCTTGAGTTTGAAATTCAAATTCAACCTTGAGAATGCATTAGTGAGAAAAATCTTGAGATTAAAAAAATTATCTTCTATTCTTATTATAAGTGGATAGTGTGCGAAAGTTCCATTGCAATAAATTGAATTAATGTATCATTAAAATATTATTTACAAGACTAAAAGACCAAGTGATGTTAAAATCATAGTTTTAATTAAAATATAGTTTTATTGTTGAATATGATACTTTTATTTAATTATGATTGTATTTAAAGACAAAGTGTAAAGATTCTTTAAAAATTTCACTCTAAGTGTAAATACAATAATTATTTTAACCTATAATTGTATTGTAAGTCACTATTATTAAAATTACTAGTAGTACTAAATAAATACGTGATATATTTTTAATATTTTAATTATTTTGCAAACTTAATTGTATGAATTGTTTAAATTTAAATATATTTATCATAAATACTTATTTTTATGTTTAAATTTAAAATTGATTGTGGTTTTTGAAATTTTCAAAAGTCAAAACTAAAACTCAAAACACAAGACTAGCCGCAGCAGTTCAACATGTTAAACTAGAAAGAATAAACATGAATATATTACCATTTTCTTCTATTATTTATTTATTTACTAATTTGTTTGTTTATTGTAAAAGCTTTCTCCACCCTTCAACATAGATTGGATGTACACATTCAAAAACAAAATATAATTGTGCCTTTCAAAATATGATTGACCCTTTTTCTTTTTCTTTTTTTTCTTTTTTTTTTTTTTCTTTCTTTTTTTTTTTTTTTTTTGTATTGTTATAAACAATTTCCTGAATGCTACTAACAAATGCTTAAATACAAGGGGTGATGGAAATGAACAGAAAGATTAATCTTATATTTGGTATCCCACTTTCACTTATGATTTTCATGTTTCTATTCAGAGATAGAATCACAAATACTTTAGATACATTTAATGTAACATTCTCTAGCTACAAAATGGGAGAGAAATGATGAGAACTAATCATCACAACATGTTGTGAGCAGGTAAATCTTTTATACTGGAGATGTCTTCAAGAGCAAGCTCCCGCTCTAACTGCGTTCTCGTTGACTTCAAAACATCCTAAAGAATAAAGCAATAAGAACACTGTCAAAGAACAATGATAAATTAATTAATCAGTGAGCAAACACAATTTTTAATGATATATTACGTTAAACTCCATATATGTAGCACGCTTTGCTAGCCACTGAGCATCCATCATTTGAAAGGCAATGCAGAAAAGGATATCAAATGCCATTTCATCCTCCTCAAGCAGCCGTAGAAAATAGATTCCTGACAAAGAAGATGGATGAACTGCAAGAAGAATAGAATAGTTCATCATCAGATGATTACAAATGAAACATGAGGTGAGTATTGAAAATATATCAACACTTGCTGCAAATCAGGAAACCCCTGTGAATAATGATAATAGTTCCCAAGCAAAACATACTTCTGGACTCTAGCGTAGTTTGCAACGGAAATCCAAACATAATCTATGAGTGTGGCATGATATGACAATATTTCATGGTATCTGTTTAAGTATATTACGCGTCTCAAAACCACCTTGTCACCATAATATAATAATTACAACCACTGACTCCTCAAGAGAATTCAAGTTACCTGATTGAAGATCCAGCATCTGCACCAACATAAATGAAATATTGATTCCAGCTACTGCAAATGGATATTCCCACTCTGCTCTGACTCCGTCTTGTTTAAGCAATAATCGCTGGAATGAAGCCTATGACATTGCCAGGTAAAAATGTGCTAGACTAATTAAAATCACCCATTTAATAGTTTAACAGATTATGTAGAATATAAATGTAAATGCAATTATGGTAGAAGAAACTTACTGGATACTTCTGCGCAAAAAAGATGAGGTTCTCTAATGATATAAATCCTCCACCCCTGCAAACCATGGTAATAAAATTCTTATGAACTCTTTCATAATTTTGAGATGTTGATTGTATTTGCAATGAAAGGGTGAGGATTTCCCAAGTATTTAGAAAAAATATGTTTGCCATATATCTAGTCAATTGGGATCCTAACACACATTTTTATATCATCTAACAAAGGCAACCCCTAAGAATAAAAAAATATAACCATTTAAACATGTAGAAGCATGTCTAACCTATAAGGATCAGAATATTTTAAGTCACCGCCCATTATTAAGTCAATGAATCCTTACATAATAGTCTTATAGTATTTTGAGTATCTAATCTATAGCTGACTAAAACGCTATTCATATTCGCGCCCCTACCCCCATCTCGTTAGAGCAAAACATATAGCTTTTGACCACACACCTAAAATCTGTTGATGGGTCTGAACCTTGCCATCCCATTTCCTTCCAAAGATCTGACTTAAGTGAAGGAAGCTCCCTGTCGGGATAAGCCAATCTCCACAATAATAAAAGAGCTTCCTGCAACAACAACAAAAAAGAGATTTGAAAATGTAATCCTTTATCAAAATAAAATAAAATGTTGATTACAAGTTTATTTTCAACTATTGTATTATAGACTCTAAAAAGCATGCTATGGATAAATTAGATATATGCGCTGTATAGACATGTAGAGCAACTTTCTTGGCCATCTGTTCATTCATCCATGTAAGGAAACTCAATTTAAAAATGGTTTATCAATCCCCATAAACATGTATTTGCAAGTTGAGCACTTGCCACACTCACATTCCAGATCCAAAACAATCAGATTGTTCATTAAGCGTGCATATAGATTGCAGAGCAAAATAGAACATCAGTATAACAAAATGGTATCAAGAGGTGCATATGAAAACGACAGCAGGATTGAATAAACACAAAATATAGAAAGAAATGTCAGTCATGTGATTAGGTGAGAAAAACATTAAATACATACTTGGTGCTCTGTTTTAGAACCATCAAAAGGGATTTCAAGCCGTTGTCGTAAGTTTCTTAGTCTTTCTTCCTAAGAAAGAAAGAAATATGAATAAATATGACATAACCACATGTAGCAGATTACTGAAAGTTAAAAAAAACAAAAGCATACAATCAGTGAGAATTATTGTTTGAGAAATGAGAACATTTACTTACAACCATTTGATTAAAATTGATTGTTCAGATGACTTATTCATTTATAATTCCCACAATTTTTATAAATCTCGTGAGATCTTTAATTAAAAAGGAAGAAAACAACGAGTTCTTTGATGGATATAGAACGATGCAACCAAATATTAATATCATCATATTCCAATAAAATATCCAATTCCCACCTATGCTTTGCAAAACACAACACGGTGATAATATCCTATCAAGTGTTTTTATTATCCACTACCCACCTATTCAAGAAACATTGTGGCAATATCAATCTAAATCCAGTGATAATATCCTATCTAGTGTTTTTCTTATCAAAAATCAGAATTTCCCCGGGCACCATTTGAACTTAAGGTTGAAGTCAGTTACTTGATTTTGATCAAAACACAATTATAAGAATTAATATAAGATATCACAATACATACCTGCACAGGGCTAAGAGGTGGAGCCAGCATCCTATTATTATGCAAGTAAAGTGCGTTAGAAGGAAGAGATAAAAGACGGCCAAGAAGAGACCCAGACCCTATTACAACGTTCGCTGCAAAGGCAATATGAAACGATTGGTTACATGTCAGATAATCACAACTAAAATCATGCAATTTGCATTTCCTTTTTATATGTACACCAGTCAACAATGAGGAAAGGTAGATATAAAACATATACAAGACCCTGATTTTCCCCAAACTCCATAAATGAGGCTCTCAGAAATCAAAAAAGAATATATTATAAGCAATTTCTTTGATAGTAAATTCATCTATTTACAAAAACAACAAACTCCAAAGAGTGTAAACATGATTATCAAATCGTGAATCCGTGAATCGAATCTTGTCATGAATTTTGATACATACACGAACTTCAGAACAATCCATGATTAATTCATAAATCAAAATGACAAGAAAATGTAGCTGAATAAACAAAATTTAGCGGTAAGTAGCGATTCATTCTCAAAATGCATTAAGAGTCGAGCCGTGAATCATATTTAAAATTGATATGTGCAGCTCCATAAATTCAGCCAACTAATACTCACAAGCTCCAAAAGAAGTGCTCGATCATGCAAATCCTACAACTGACTCTTTTAGCCGCCACTCTAAACATAAGATTTCAGATTCAGAGGAAAAATGATCATCAACTTTCCTGACAAAATCATTTGGAATAGGATTTTATTCGCTCCATAACTATCACTAATGGAAAATATGTCGACAATCCTCTAGCATAGAATGTATGAACTGAGAAATTCATAGGAAAAACAGATCATCATCTTTCTTGACAAATCATTTGGAATAGGATTTTATTCACTCCATAACTATCACTAATGGAAAATAAGTCCACAATCAGCTAGCATAGAATGTAAGAACAGAGAAACAGTCTAATATTGCTTTTCACTAGATAAACACAGCAAAACAATATACTATTCAATTATCATCAATACTGTCAAGCATAAATCTATGGCAAGCCAAACCATCAAACACATACCTAACCACTGTGCCCATTGCGCAATAAGGTTCGAAAACAAGAATGTCCAATGAATTTGCGCCTTTTTCCTCTCATCATCCCACAAATCTTCAAGTGTACATATCTTCATAACAGATAAACAAACATTAAAAAAAATATAAAATCAGACAAAAACAAAATGAACTTAACCCCTACTCCCCAAATAAAAACAACAGCAATTCCAAACCTTCTTGTTCTCAATATAATCATCACCCCCCAACAAAGGCTCATTCAAAGAATCTAACTCCGAAGTATCCAAATGATCCTTCCTTTTGCCATCGACATCCCCGTGATGGAGTCTTCTCCTCAATGTTTTTGAAGACATCAAAACTCTTCTTTACTATATATCTCAACCTGCAAGTCAAAAAAAAAAACCCAATTCTAAAATCCCAAAACCACCAAGCTCATCAATTCTCTCAAACAAAAATCCATCATGTTCATAACAAGCACCATATTACTCAACTCAATGAACATCAACACAATATATGAATCAACATAACTGAATTTCAACAATAACACACACAGCATAAACCCTAAATTCAACTGAAACCAAACCAAACCGAATAAACAGAAATTCAAATCAAAAGAATCAACGAGTCGTCAACAACAATACCTGAATTTCAAAGAGTGAAACGAATTTCAGTAACGAAAATGCAAAGTAACAAAATTTTTTTTTGAAGGGTTTTACAAATAAAAATGAAATTCGAAGAAATTGTTTTTACTTTTCGTGTTTGAAAAGGAAGAAAAAAAACTTTTTCTTAAAAAAAAAGAATAAAAAAAAAAGTTAAAATAGAGAAATAAATGAAAGGTGACGTGTTTGTGGTGTCAAGAATGACAGTAACGTGTTGGAAGAGACAGATCAAATGCGTGCTGGTGGGGAAACTCTTTCACTAATTTTGAAAATAAATAAATTCTAATTCTAATTTTTGCTTGCATAGAGTTAAATTGGGCATTTTTTTTAATCTAATTCTAATTTTATTATGTGTCAATTTCATTAAAAAAAATGTTTTTTTTAGATATTTCTAAATAAACTACTTCCTAACTGCATCTAACTGGAACTTTTTTATGTAGGTATTATAATGATTAAATGACGGTGCAATGCAATTGTTTAAGTTGAGTTGCAAATTCATATTTGAGATTTGCTATATAGAAACTACATTAATGCAGACAACGGTTACATTTAGAGAAGAGCCAAATATAAATTTTAACGTTTTATAATGGGAATGATGAATTTTGGTTAATTATAAAATAAAAATCAATTGTATTAAATTATTAAAAATATGAGATTAATTGATATGCATTGACCTTATAAAATAATTTTACACTGTAATCTAATAAAAATATATTATTTTGTCATGTTATATTATTAATTTAAAATTTACAATTTAATATGGCAGAATACATGATAGTGATTGGTTGACAGTGTAAAATTATTTTACATTATCAGTGCATACCAATTAAATTCTAAAAATATTAACTTTAATTTATAATTATTTTTGAGAAAAAGGAATTTACACTGTCAACAAATAACCGACGTGTATCCCGCCACATCACATTTTTATTTTTAAAATATTGTTATGATTTGACACTTTAAAATAAATGTCTGTGTAATATTTTTTTAAATTGACATTGCACTATCTTTAAACTCATTATTTTTAGTGACACGTATAATTCATTATGATTTATTAATAATTTTAACTTTTTATGTTGACAAATTATTAAAATTAGACTCAAATAATAAAAATTCATGTCTCCAATTGATTAAATAAATTTCTTGTAAAAACGATGTCTAAGAAATAGAGTAGGAATGGTTTTTTTATTGACAAGAAAATTACAAAGTAAAGAAAAAGAGAGAAGAGAAAGATAATTCAAAATGGTTTAAAACCCTGGATTCTTGATTCAATTACACATTGAGACAATGTTTACAATTGAATCACAACCGCATCACTTTCTCCTTCTAATCAGGATTATCAGGGATTGTTATATAAGTGATGATTAGTATGATATTTATAAGAAAACTAAACTCTACCGTTCAACTAACATACTAAACAATTGGCCCAACAAACTAGCAAAATTCAACATGTTATTTTAAACAACAATGTAACTTAGACATCTACATGCTAGAACAGACTTCGACTATGACATGCACATCTTCGACTACTGTCGAATCATGAAGTTATCCCTGCCGAGGCTAGAGTTCGATCCAAATACCACAAATTTCTACCTTGGAACAAACTCTACACCACCAAGGAAACAAACTAGCTTTCATCATGCAGCCTTTATCAACTGCATACAATGGAAAACTTGTTATTTGACAATGTCTTGGTGATCATATCAGCATCATTGTCATCAGTTAAAATCTTTAGCACTTAGACTTCTCCATGCTTGATTATCTCTCTAACAAAATGCAGTCTCACATCAATGTGTTTGGTTCACTCATGATAAGCTGGATTCTTCAATAGGTGTATTGTACTTTGACTATCACATTTAATAATGGTTGCTTGACCTTGAAGTTTCATCTTTTTAGCAAAACCTTCAAGCCACAATACTTCTTTCACCGCCTCAATGAAGGCACTATATTCCACTTTAGTGGTTGATAAGGAAACAACCTTCTGAAGTGTTTCTTTCTAACTTATTATTATGTTAAACTTAGTGCACACATATCCAGAAATAGGTTTTCTAGAATTCATACAACCTGCATTATCAGAGTCTACAAATTCTTCGATTTATACTTTGTTATCATCACCACAAGTTCCACCGTAAATCAGGACTCTGCTCAGAGATGCATATATGTACCTTAGAATTCACTTAAATGCTTGTCAATGTGTCTTTCCATGATTGGTCATGTACTTGCTTACAAGGCTCACTGCATATGATATGTCTGGCCTAGTATAGACCATAGCATACATCGAAGAACCTACTATGTTAGCATATGGTATGCTTTTCATATAGGTTCTTTCGACCTCAGTATTAGTTCTCTGAGTTACACTCAACTTGAATTGAAGATTTGTCGGAGTCACAATATGATTTTAATTTGAAATACCAGACTTGTCGAAAATCTTCAGTATGTATGTCTCTTGAGATATGTATAATCTTGTATGCTTTCTATCTCTCTAGATGTCAATACCAAGGATTCTGGTGCGATACCAAGATCATTCATCTTGAACTCCTGTCCGAGTTCAGTCTTTACTCTTAATGCTTCTTCATTATCATCGCTGGCTTTGAGGATATCATGCACATAAAGAAACAAAATCACAAGTGAACTTTTAGGTCGAAATCTGAAGTAAATACAGTGGTCGAACTAACTTATAATGAAACATATGTGTGTCATGAACCTATCGAACTTTCTATTCCATTGCTTGGGAGATTGCTTCAGACCATATAATGACCTATTCAACTTACACACATAATTATTCTTGTCATTTTCTTCATGCCATACAGGTTGCTTCATGAGGACTGTTTCATCTAGATCACCATACAAGAAAGAAGTATTCACATCCATCTGTTCCAGCTTTAGGTTGAACTTCGCCACCATAGCAAACAGCGTTTGAATGGGTTTGTGCTTCATGGCAAGAGAGAACACATCATTGAATTCGACTCCTTCTTTCTGAGTGAAACCCCTAGTGACCAACCTTGCCTTGTATCTCTTCGACATCACTCTTTCAATTCTTTTCTTCACCTTGAAGATCCAATTACAGTTAACTAATCTGTCCCCTATGGGTCTCTTAATTGGATTCCAAGTGTTGTTATCATGAAGAGATATCATCTCATCATCCATGTCTTTAAGAAATTCAATCATGTCTCGTCTCCTCATAACTTCCTTATAGTAAATAGGATCTTCATCCAGAACCTCACTTGCAGAGATTAAAGCATAAACTATGAGATCAGCATATAACCTAGTTCTATCTCTAGCTAACATATACTCATTATGAGCCTCCTTATTCGATTCAACATCGTGTGCTTCTTCTTCGACTTCATTTAGGTTTTGCATTTCAGCATCGACATGCTCCATATCAACTAGAAACTCCTCCTATTACAGCTCTTCTTCAAATATCTTCGAACTTTGACCAATCTCATCAGTTTTCTTGAAAGTCATATCAACATCATTGAAAATTACATATCGACTTATGATACACCTTCTGTGACCTAGCTCTAGGCACCACAACCTATGAGCTTTAACTCTTTCAATGTATCCAAGGAACATACATCTCAGAGCTCTAAGGTTGACCTTATCTTGCCTAATGTGAGCATATGCTACACAACCAAATACTATAAGTTTGTCGAGCATATGCCTAATGTGAGCTTTAACTCCTTCAATCTTTAAATGTTTTACCTAAGAGGACTCTTACAAAGTTGGATTACAAGGAAACTTAGATGAGGCCTACTTCTTTGATAGTCAAAGCTTTTGACGGTTCCCGCAGAGCTGTAATTGGAGAAGTGGAGCTACCGATCTTAATTGGTCCACATGTATTCGACATCACATTCCAAGTGTTGGATATAAACCCTACTTATAGTTGTTTACTTGGAAGACCATAGATCCATACTACTGGTGTCGTAACTTCAACGTTGCATCAGAAGATGAAGTTCGTGATTGATGATAAGTTGGTAATTGTGCCCGGTGAGGAGGATTTGATGGTAAGTAACTTTTCTTCATTCCGTTATATAGAGGCTGACGAAGACGCTTTGGAAACTTCTTTCCAAGCACTTGAGATAGCCAACGCTGTCTTGTTGGAAGTTGAAGAACTAGTGGGCAAGAGTAATCCATTTTTTGCATCTTTCAAGAGTACCAGATCAATAATTGAAGGAGGTGTATGCAAAGGTTGGGGAGAGGTAATAAATATCAGGACAAAAGTGAATTGTCATTGGTTGGGTTACAAACCAACTAATGATAGAGCTTCTAGATCTGCCAAAGGTCGTCCGAAGACTATCCAAGAAGTGTTTGTCAGCGGAGGTTTACAGATCAATGTCGTTGAAGATGATGATGAGGAAGAATATTTGAGCAACCTGGTATTCAAGTGTGATGCAACTTTGCATAATTGGGAAGCAATAGAGATCCCAGTGATTTTTTCTTCGTCAAAGTAATTTATTGTCTTTTGTTTGTTGTTTTCAAAAATTTCATAGCTATGCCCAAGGCTATTGGATTATTTTGTAAGGCCGCCCCTTTTTACTTTCAAATAATTATCAATAAATGCATTTTGTTAAATTCTCATTTGTTTCAATTATTGTTATTCGCTTTTACCTTTAAAAGAAATTGACCATCTTTAAAACCACACAAAAAAGAACATTTTCTCTTGCATTTTCTTTGTGCCTTTAATAAAATAAGTC